GTATGGTTTTATTTTAAAATGGTACCCAGTGATGTACAAGAGTTTTCTACTACTTTTTTACCTTTTTGACCTAAACATTTTGTTGTAAAAATGAATCTTTACCCATTTCAAAGACACATCAATATTTTTATTATTTGTGATTTTACTTAATAGAGGGCTAAATATTTGTTTTAAAAAATGCAAGACAAGATGATACCATGTTAATAATAATAATAATATTATTAACAAATTTTGTAATACTCTAAAGTTTACAAAATGTTTTGCATACCTTACCTTTTTAGAATCTGACAACAACCCTGTGTTGGTCAGGGTTTTTGTTTGGTTTTTTGTTTTTTTTTAATAATCTGTGTTGATTTGATCATTTTGTTTTTTAGTTAGTTATGTAGCTTCCAAATTGCTAAAATTCAAAAGCAACAAGGCAAGGGTTTCTGTTATTTGATTTTGTCCATCCCAACATAAAAACCTTCTTCACTAACAGAGAGATATTTTCAGAAAGAGAGGGAAATAGCTTTATATTTTTAACGATATTAACCAAAAGCAGATAGATAAATAAATGAATATAAAAGATGATGAAGGGGCTATAGAAATTCATTATCTTTTTCCTTTGCTGTCTGCTATCCTTTGTCCTCATTTTTCTCAGAAAATTTGCAGAGAATATTGGCTATTCATATTATTTTAAAATGAAAAATTGGAGGTTTCCATTATATTGAAAAAGAAATAATGGGAAGAATTGGATTTAATAAAAAAAAGCAATAGACACCATGCTTAGTAGTACAAAAATAAATTGAGGTAATGAACCGAGGTTTTTTTCTTTTTTTGCTGTATAGTCTTAAAAAGTAGTGAAATGATGAAGAATCACTGTTAACTACTTACATTAAACTTAAAATCAGCTAAGAAATCAGTGAATTCATGCAATCCTGTTAAGCCTTAAAAATGTTGGAAAGAAGAAGCAAAATTAACACTAGGAGCATTCAGGACTTATAGTAGAAAGTGGGTAGGATATCTGAGATATGTGTGTGTGTATATATATATATATACACATATATATATACATGTGTATGTGCATGTACATACATATACACATACATGTACACACACACACATACCCAGGGTATTTTTATGCTTTTTATTTTGTGGTTTAGAATCATTGAGTCATCCACAAGACAGCTTGACATTGCATTGTCATTTTCTCTTAGTATTTATACTTCCCATGTTTTATATTTAACTGGCATTTTCTTGAACTGATTTTCCTGGTTACAAAAACAATGGTTCTAGATAAACAACTGTATATGGGAATCAGTGATGCTATTATTGTTTTTAAAGGTGTATATGTGTTTGTATATTTATATTTTGCCATCTTGGAAAAAGTGTCATCAACTACTTATATTTGTTGTTACTGTTGAAATCAGATATTTTCCCCCTGGTGTTGCAAGACATGCTGCCATCCATAGCAGTCAACTGTATGTTTTTTTGTTATATGGGGTTTTTTTAGATTTTATTTAGAATTTTATTTTTCCCCAGTTATGTGTAAAAACAATTTTTAATATTCGTTTTTAAAACTTTGAGTTCCAAATTCTCTCCCTTCCTCTCTCCCCACCGCACCCATCATTGATAAGGCAAACAATTCAATATAGATTATACATGCAGTATAAGTCTTCATGCAAAACATATCCATAATAGTCATGTTGTGGAAGAAACTATAGATAAGAAAAAAAATTCAAGAAAAATATAGAAAGTTTTTTTTAAAAAAAGTACGCTTCAATCTGTATTCAGACACCATCAGTTCTTTCTCTGGGGAGGGAGAGCATTTTTGATCATAAGTCCTTCAGAGCTGTCTTGGACCGTTGTATTGCTGATAATAGCCAAGTCATTCCCAGCTGGTCATCTTACAATATTGCTGTCACTTTTGTTGTACAGTTTTTAAAAGATCCGTTCACTACCCTCTTGTGTTTAGCTGAAATAGACTATAAGGTTCAGGAAATATCTAAACATACAATAATCAATTTCATATTCTTGGTGTTTGACAGTGCATGAAATGTAGTCTTTGATGAGTTACAGTATGAAAATCCCTAAAGGGGTCTTGTCCAAGGCTCATATCCTTTTGCAGATAATTCTGCAATAGAACCACACACATGAAAAACTGGCCCTGTACATAGAATAGGCTGCAGTTACATAAAGTCACTGACTCCAATTAAAACTATGTAGATAAACTGAACACACATTTCATTATTTAAATCAGGATTGGTTAGTCCTTTTGGGGTACTGTAGTTTTTAGCTTTTAACATTATGTCATCTTCTTTGGTTTTGTTTAGTTTTGTTAACCCATAGATGTTTTGGTTTCTCTAATATACAGAACCAACTTTTACATTCTAATTTTCTTTAATTTTTATATGTAGTATTTCATTTTTTGTACCTATCTTTTTTTTTCTCATTTTATACTTTCTTTGAAAAATAGCTGACCCATAAAAGGTGATTCACACAGTGTCAGAACACACTAGTTAAAAATCAGTTATTAAAAGAAAGTACTTAGTTTAGGAAAAAGCAAAAAAGACAGAAATAAAAATTATATTAATATATCCAAGTATATCATTTACTGGAAAGCATTTATTTTATTATGTTGTCAGTAGGTTTTTTAATTAACCTAATAAAGTCACTTACTAATTATCTGTGGACCTAAAGTAGATATTATTATGAAAGTAAATATGTTTAATTACTAACACAGCTCTTTTACCAGTCCATATTTGGTAATGGTTTCATATGCCATGATCTCTTCATTTATAGTAAAGCTGATTGTGCCTACTTAAAGTACTGTCATTGTATATAATTAGCTTAGGCATACATACAATGTGTGCTGGCTGAATTCCTATCACATCAAAGAGATAGTACTGTAGTTCATAGGATCATAGATTTATATCTGGAAGGAGTTTTAGAGGCCAGCCTGCCCAACCTCTCATTTTATAGACGAGGAAACTGAGGCTCATACATGTGAAGTGACTTACCCAAGGTCATGCAGGTAGACACAGATGGGATTTGAAGCCATTTCCTCCAACTCCAAATCCAGTACTACATTGACTTAGTAAAATCAATCAATAAAAAGCATTTATTAAGTAATTAATATGCGCCACGTTTTGTGCTAAACACTGGGGATACAAAGAAAGGTTAAAATAGCCCCTGCCCTTAACGAGCTCACATTCTAATGAAGGAGATAGCATGTAAATAACTAGGCACACACACAATATACCCAGAGTAGGTAGGAGGCAGTATCAAAGGGGACAGTGCTGCCCCACCAGAACAAGCCTCCTACAAAAGGGAGGCTTTGAGCTGGAGCTTGAGGCAGACATTTCAGCTTCCATCCAACTGCCCAACTTTCACCATTCATCTCTGACCTGTGATGTCGTATGCTTAGAATTGGAAAGGGAGTTTTAGGATAGTAGATCAATAATAGATGAGCTATATTAGAACTTCCTAAAATTGACCACTTGTCAACCCACCACTATGTTTGAGTGGATTTTTTATCACTGGCCCGTGGCACTTAATCAGGTTAGACTTCATGAAGGGTGGTACGTAAGGTGACCTTTAAATAAAGTGATTCCACAGACGATAAAAGAAAGATTGTGCTTGCCAGGTAAAAGTGAAAGCTTTAAAAGATCGTAGATAAAAACTGGTCCAACTTCAGTCTTTAAAGGAGCCAAGTTCCAAGTAACTGGACTTTGGTGAACTAGACTGACTCCCAGGCTAGTACTTTTTCCACTAACCACATTACTGGCTTTCATAAACTAGTAAAGACGTGGGATTTGAATAATTCTCTGAGCGTAGCTTTGGGGAGAACACATACTTAGGAGTCTGGAGGCTCTATCGTGTACTCTTCCTCCCTTTCTCTATGGAGGATGTATTCTATGGATCCCATTTGCTTTAGTTATCACCACTGTGGGGATCATTCTCAAATCTACACATTCCCATACCCAGTCTTTTCTCACATTTCAGGCCTACATTTCCAAAGGCCAATGACAATGATCCTAAGGCCTTTTCCAGCTCTAAATCTCATCCTTTCCCACCTCTCTATTGTTAGAATAGACTCTGAAAAAGTATAGAGGAATCAACATTCACAGTTGACTTCAGTGTTCTTAGTTTATTCACTTTCAGAATAACTCCATGAGGGAGAGGGAATTAGTTGCCTTTTCTTTACTCAGATAAGGAGATAAAGGCACAGAAAAGCTAAGTAAGAATCTGGGTTTGGGCTGGCTGACCTTAGTTTAGCACCTATTAAGGAAAGAATAAGACTTCATGTAGTGATAACTTTTCATTCATTCACATCTATATTTAGGTGAATAAAGGGGAAAGTTCTGTTAGGAATTGGGATTGATTGATTAATAATTACTCTTGAAAATATTTGCACTCAAACCAAACAGTACCTGTAGTTTATCACTGAGTTAAGAATTACTCCTGCTCATTATTTAATCAAACACTGAAACTACATTTAATCTCATGTATTTTAACTATAGTGATAATAAACTTTACAACTCTGGCTATGTTTCAAAGTAGTACAAAAGGGGCTATTCTCCCTTTATCCTGGGGCATAGTTTTTTTTAATTGATGAAATTTTGCCACGACAAACTGTCAAACTGGTTCCCTGAATTAATGCAAGATGTATTTCAGAGTCATGTGCCAGTTTTGAGGACGCTAAAATGATATGAGTTTCTTAAGTTTAATGCATCTTTGTATTGTGCTTAAATATGTTTATATATGAACCTAGCATTGTCATTATGAACATTTTTATGTAATGTGTATTGGTAAGATAAAATTGATTGTATTATTTTAGTCCATCTACCTTACAGGAGATAACCAGTAGACAATTTTAGAGTTACTTCAGTAAACACTGGGCAGTGCCAAGAATTTTTAATTTCAGTAGCTTTTGGATGTAAGGTTTTTCCTATTATTGTCACATGTTCTGAAAGACAATCAGATCAGCAGTCAGAAAAATCAAGTTTTTTGTTTCATCT